TTATCGTCTATGCACATCAATATTCTATTGTCTCTTAATATATCTTTTGTCTTTGTTCTCGTAAATAAAAATAAAACAAGATTCAGACATTAATATTGTAGACTATGTAATCTTTTTAACATGAATTTTAATTTAATCATTGGATAGAGCATAAAACGTTGTTTCTATAAAATAATTTTCAGAACTATGTCTCTAGAACTCATAGTTTGGAAGCATTTCCAAATTTGGGAAAAATGACGGTTTATGCTAAAATTGATATGCTGATAAAATTTAGTCTTTCGACTGGAAACTCGGAGTTGCAATCAAATTCCAATGTTTACAGTATGGTAGAAAATAATTGAATAAAGATCTAAAGATAAAAGAATATGGATTTTTTAATAATTCAACAATATTTCTGGTTCTTCGGTTACTCGGTGGCTTTTGATTAATGATGTTTTCTTTCTCATTTAGAGTTGTCAATCTTGATCTCTTATATGGAAAATAGATGAGAAAAAACTTTAAACGACATCTCCGGATATGGCCATTTTCCGAATCTCCTTTTTTGGCGCGTGAAGATGTGAGTGCAAGTAAGGACTGGCATGATCGTGATTGTGACCTTGCTTGAGGCCTTCTCCTCGCGAAAAGTTGATTTTCGTCCAAAAACATCATTTTTGAGATAGGCATACAGGCATGTCACCCAAGGCATCTAGTTTACGATTTCATTAAAATATTTTTGAATTTCGAAGTTTCCAAGGAGCTTACCAAGCATTTCTGGAGACCTATGTACCAAATATTATTTTGTAATATAATCGCTAAAATTTGCTTGATAAAGGAAGTTCTGAAAGCCAAACAAATAAATTTTGGTAGGTCATGACTTATGATTATGTCACACAACGTATGTGCCTGTATATATATGGAAGAATTTTTGCTGAGATAAGCAAGAGCACTTGATGACTATATTCACTTCACCCTCACTCCTCAATCATAATATGATTACTGAAAGATCCTATTAGAAGTAAATAAAGTTCCTCTAAACATGTCGCTAGGACTAAGTAAGATTTCCATAGGATAGAGAAAAATGTAGTACAATATCGAAGAGGAACATCCGAAAAGATTTTCTGTTTTGTAAACTAAAGTCCTTTTGTTTCGTAGAGGACTTTAGATAAAGTAGACATTTTTCAGACCTTTGCCAGCTCTCTAGCAACACGCAAAAAGACATGTTTGTTGTAACCATATAATTCAGTAGCTGGACGTTCTTTTTCTGTAAAGGTGAGTAACGTTTGTCTGTGTTAAAATGAATGTCTTGATGATAATAGAAAAGAAAAAGGAATAGGTAGAGACGAAGCAAAGAATAGAACAGAACGTGATGATGTTCGTCGACTTTAAAAAGGACACGGTTGACTCATACTTACTAAAAAAATGCATATTATTCATCACTGATCACTGCGCGTAAGTCGAGGACGCATACACTGAGAGTGCGTGCATATGGCGAGGACACATACAGTGAGAGTGCATACATTCAAGACACGTCTTTCACCCTCATGATGTCAAGGGAGAAAAATTGGATACTGGAACCAGTGTTCGTAATATTAAGTGTCTCAAGCAGAAGTAAAGTATCCGAGATACTTACGATTTTGAAAAAAGGTGCTATGTTTTGTGCTTTACAGGAGAAAACACAGTTTTCTGATGGCACTTTGTAAAGTAAGAAAAAATTTTGACTATTTCTTAAGCCATTATTAAAAATCATTAGTCTTTCTCTTATTTATCTTTTTTAGGCGTATATGGATCTAAGAACCATTCTCTCTTTTAATTTTATCGAACGAATCATTGAAATTTCTCTTTCTCTTGTTAGATTTTCGATGTTATTTTCTGCATATACTATCTTCAGTTGTTTTGTCGCATACCCGGTAGTTTTTCATTGTATATGAGTTAAAAAATTAACGTGTTTATTTCATTTAGCACAGATCAAGTACAGATTTCCTCGACTCCAGCTATCGAACCTCAAATTTTTGCATATGACCACAGATCTCCGAAAGCAACGAAGATTGGAGGGGAGGGAGCGAGGACTTTTTCGAAAATTCCATAAATCATCGAAATTTTTTAAAGCATTTTTACTATTAGTTGTCAGAAATTTTTAAAAAAGTTCCAAAAAATAGGAAGAAAAACAAAATTTATGAAGATTGTAGGATGATCCCTCTCTCAAGACACTCTTGCGTATGAGTACCACTAAGATCGTACTCGTTCTTGTCCTGTTCTATAATAGCTGTCTCTGTTTTTCTTGAATCAGTTCTTTACTATGATGCTTTGAGGTACTTAGCCAATGAAAACAAAATATATAAATATACTCCGTTCCAGATTCCTATTAAAAACCTTACTGCAACCCACTGGGATCCAATTTTTCTGCTTGTACCGAACTTTATTGAGTTACCTTAGAATTTACTGGAATTCACGATAATTCACGATGGCCTATTACAATTCATTGAAGGAAAAGTGACTTTTTATCTCACTTTTTCATTACGAACTCTGATCGAAATAATCCGTTACGATCTCCGGACATAAGAAGAAAGACAAGATGTTCGGAATAGAAAGGGCAGAATGTTTGTAACTATGTTGAGGCTTACTCATCTTTGGAAGAATGTGAAGTAACATGCGTTCTTACAGTCTAAGATGATGCCTAAAGAACGTTTCGGTGAACTCAAGCAGTAAGATTGTTGCTGTTTTTTTATGATTCTAATTCTAGTGTTAGTTTTTATTCTGACTATTCCTTACATGCTCTCCGTTACGAATATCAAGTTTTTGAAAGAAAAAGAAATAAATATTCATTCATAACTTTAGTGTGAATATACATCATCATCACGTTCCCTTTCTCTGACAGCTAAGAACAGGCACAACAAAATACTCTATAATATTTCATTATTATAGAGACTACTGCTATATATTGATATTTTGAATAGATTAAAAGACGAAAATTAGAAACAACATTTATAGTTACTAAAGTATAGAGAGTAGATGTAGAGAAACATAAACGCTTATTCATATAAATATGAATGTAATAGGTAAATCATTCCTATTCTTGTCTATAAAAAAAACAAAAAGAAAAGCCGTTATATCCATTACGATCTCCTAGTAAATTCTTTTACGAACTTCCTGCCAATGTCATTCCATTCTTCCAGTCTTCTTCTGTAAAAATATCGTTAGACATACATTCTGAACATTCGACCTTGTTCATTACGATCTCCAATCGCTACATCAGATATAGCAAGAAGCATCCTATTCCGAACACTCGGTCACATTATTCCGATTTCTCTGCTTTTCTATTACAATCTTCCGTACAAAAGTATTTACGAACTCCGGTCATAAATCTTTCAGAACAAAAATTCATTTCCGAACACATGTCCAGAATTCGGAATGACTTGAGACGAAAAGTACGTCATCCTTATTGAAATATATTCAAACCCACTGTAATTCGTCGCGGTCCACTATGACTGTAAATCAAGAAAAGAACGCGAAACCTATCAGATCTTAATAAATCCTAATTACTGTCGAACTTATCAGAATCCATTGAAGTCCACCAAGATCTTAATATGTTAAATTCACATTTTCTTTTTTGATTGCAAATCTAAGGTTCGATTATCCTTATATTTGAAAAATTATATTACTAATTGCAAGCAGGATAGAACAATCATATATATGGCGTTAGCGTTAATATCTCGATGTTTTCCCTCTTTCCTTATTCTATTTTATTGAAAAAAAAGTTTGATCATTCTCTAAGATCGCATCCTGCTTCATTTCCTAACCATTGTTTATGCGAACAACTGAATTTGCTGAAAGTTCAAGTTCGATGCATACCTAGATATGCACAAACTTTTTAACACTTAACACCTATCTAATTTGATAAATTTCTTTTTTGGAAAGGAAAGTAGGGAAAGTCAAAAAACTTTCCTGTGAAAAAAGAAACTTTCAATTTTATTTTTCTTTGTATGGAATTGATTATCGACCATGTACCACTTGTTAGTCAAGAGACGTTTTAATTAGTTTGTATTTACATATACTAATTTATTATTGAACAACGAAGAGTATATATATACATGAGTCTGAAAGGGAAAAGAAATTGCTGGAAGGTAATAGAGCGGAAAGAACTCACTAGGAACTCAGTGAGAACATACGAAGAGAAGGAGAATGAATACAAACGAATGCAGAAGAACATACCAGAAAAAAGGAAATATATACGTATCCATTTATGACAACAGAACAGAAGAAGATATAGATAGAAAATGCATATATACATGATGACGTCATACAATCACACAACAATATTGATAGAAAGAACGAAAGAAAGAATACAGTCTAGAATGTCCTTGAGAAATGGTCTCTCATGTAAAAATGTCTCTCTTTCTCAAGTATTGTTTTTTAAATATCATATCATTCGACACATAGATAACGCTGTAATTCAAACATATTTCGACATATTTTAATTGTTTATATAGAGGATTTCTATATAAAATAAATCAATAAGAACGAAAGAAAACTTTAGTAAACTACGATTACTTGCGCCTAAATAATATTTTATAAATAACTAAAACAAATATGTTTTTTTTTTTAAATAGAATCCTAAGATATTATGATGGATGAGACATCATCATCATGTTCAACTGAATATTCATTATGGATGGATGTGGGTGAGTGAAAGACCAATACCCACACGTACACCCACAGCTATACCCACATTCACACACCACCCGCACCTATACCCACATCCATTTCTAAAGGACATTTACTCTGAGGGACAGTTTTTCAAGGAGGAAAATCCGTGCATATTTCATCAAAGACATTTTCTAAACGATATTCTAGACTGTTATCGAAAGAAAACAGATAATACATATATGATGACGCCACTTAACGACTTTCAGAAAGTAAAGAGCCACTCCTATGCTAAATAAGTATGTCACCAGTTACATTATACTCCAGAAACGTATAAAAGTGTTTTTTTTTCTCGATGAAATGGCCTTTTTAGTTAGATATTATGAAATGCGTAATATTGATTTCATAATTGGCACTAATTCATTAATATCTTCTGGTGATAATGTTCGCAGTATATTATTTCGCATTTCTTCGTGAATTGTTTGCCATGAGATGACATGAACAATGAGTTCACTAAATAACTTAATTGTTTTTTCATATCCATGCATTGTTTCCATGTATTTCCACAATAGTTCTGTGTAATAATTTTGTGCGCAATATACAGACATTTTATTATTGAGTATTGGTTCGTCATGATCACTAATTATTGAAAAACCTTTTGTAAGAATAAGTATAATAATTGTTAATTCAATGATTTTTCGATCATATTTTGCTATATGTAAAAATGAAGCAAAGATCTTGCCTGCTTGCCTACAAACATTATAACCATGAAGTACTCGAAAGAATTGTGTATTCGATGGTACGTCAGAGTCACTTTCAATGATTTCACCAGTTTCTATATTATATGAAAGTGCACAGTTTATACCAAGAACTGTTAGAAGATTATATTTAATTAAAGTAACTTTATCATCAACGTTTAATTGACTAAATTCAGGTACTTGTTTGAAAAATGATAAAAGTCGCATGACTGATATTGAATGACTATTGACAACTTGTAAAAAAGTTCTTGTATGCATTGATGGATCCCATGGAAGACCATCACGAGCCGCTAAAACACCAAACAGAGTAACATGAAAAGAAAAAAAGATCAACAAAAATACTCGCTTACCAAATTCAATACGGTTTTGATAAAAATGTGATATAGTTTCTACACGTTGTAAATCTTCTGGACTGAGTAATGTCTGTTGTGGCTGAGGTGATAGAAGATAAGTAAAATCTGTGAGAAGAATATTTGTGTCTATCGGTGTAATTAACTAAGAATAATATAAGAGTAGATAGATGAAATCATGTTTTTTTCTTAAATATTCTTACATCGTCCGAAAATGTGGATGATGACAATTGAAATTCTTCTTCATTTGTTTTAGAATTTGAATTCAATGCTAATTTTCTATTTTCCTCTATTTGACGACGTTTTGCTGCTTTTTGTTCATCCTAGAATTTAATTTTATGAAAGATTTTTCTTTCGTTTCCTTTTATTTTATTGATACCGTCATAAGTCGATCACACTGCATTCCACTATTAAAACACTTGGCTAAACGGCAAGCCGAACAATTACGACGTGTTGCAAATGTTATTTTACAATCACCTTTGTCATCACAATGAAAAGCAATCTAGGTAGAAAAAGGCATTGTCATTTCGGTGACTATTAAAAACATATAGAAAACAAATGAATTGTATGTCATTTGTACTGTTATAATTTGAAGTATAAAATGAAAAGCAATAGATAGATTCTGTCTTTATATCCCTATCAAGGGTGAAAACAAAATCAGTTTGTAGACAGTTTTCTCATAGGATACTTTTCAAGCGTCTTTCCATTTAAGAAAAGTTTCGAATCTGTTGATTCTCATTATTCTATCTGTAGTTTTTTTTTGCCTAATTTTTGAAACATAATTCGACTCGTTTTTAGTATAGAGTCGAAAAATTTTGAGACTAAAAAAAAAAGTCTGTAGAAATTTCAAATCTTGACCAATTCTTGATACTCATATTGTATTTCTGGAAATTCATAAATTCGGAGAGATTGACAACTCTGAAAAAATGTGTATATGTACAAACGTACAGAGTCGATTTCAAATAGTCAAATGATACCTTTGAAAGAAAGTTAATGATACAAAGAGATATTTCAGTGATACATATACTTGTCACTTTTCAAATGCAGAGTAGAAGTTTTAATTCCACGAATACTAGCGAATTTTTATCTGTGTTTTTCAACAAAAAAAATATTCGCTTCGATCGATTGATCGAACTTGCATCAAATTTATGAGAGCTGATAGAAATCTTATTGAGGTCTACGACGAGAAAGAAATAGATTCAATTCGAACAACTTTTTTTTTCATCTAAATAGCACAAATATGATGTATTTTTTTCCGAAACTTACAGGATCTTTTCGAGCATGACGACGAAAGAAAGCCTTACAACTTTCACATGTAATTGCACCAAAATTGTATCCATTTGCTGATGATCCACAAACGACACAAATTAAAGAACCATCCTTAGATTTATTGTTCTTATGTAATGGTTGTAACTTGCTCTGAAAACAATACATTCTTTTTTTCCTTTATTAGAATAATCTAATACTAACCTGTTTATCAACTGTTTCACTATTGTTATCTTCGGACGGTAGAACAATTTGTTTTAATAAAGATACATTGTTGCTTTTTTCAATTTGATCAATGATACTTTCATCGGCAGTAATAATCATTATTCTTTGTCGTTTTGGACCTGTTGTTGGCCATAGGTTGGACGACATGATTCAGAAAATTTATTTTATTTTTCTAAAACGACGTAATTTCTAATAAATTAAAACTTTCTTAAAATAAATAAAAAATCTTCTCTACATGGTAACAATCTTCTTAAGTAAACAAAATATGAAAGGAAGCAAAAAAAAATCCCAAAAAATAATAAGCTTAATATAATGTTGAATTTCATACAGTATAAAAGCTGAATAGTATATATCTAAGAAGTCTCACTTCAAATCATTAACATAAAGATGAATTCGGTCACTTAAAAGTATAGAAAACGTGACAAAACTATACTGTAATTCAACATAAGTACACAAATATCGTTCTCCAGTGTATCTTCTCTTTTAAGATCTGTTCATTTACTTTCACTTTCCCATCACTACATCTATTTTTCTTACACATCATCATCTCTTGTAGAGTTCATTTTAAAAAGTTTTCTTAGCGTCGAATAAATATATGCTTATTCATATTCAACCTTTTCTTTTTTTTAAAATGATTTGTATAACGAAAAGGTTAGGATAAACTGCGACATATTTCAGCAAAAATTCTCTCAAAAAAATGAAGATGTTTGAAACAAAAAAAGGAATTCAATTAATATATTTGGAGGAGGTAGAATCGATTCGATTTAGGATGATTGAACTAAACTGAATCTATATTGGATCAATTTGAGGAAATTTTGAATTAGTTTAGTTCGTTTAGAATTCCTACACTTTTTTTTTGTTCAAAATTTCTACACAATGTTTCAAATACACTTATGTACAAAAGACATAATGGATATTAAAATTGATCAACAAGTATATGACATTTGTTCCTTGTCTAATCGTTTCATTCTATATTAAATAAAGGACTAGAATAAGAGTTTTCCCATTCTACGATCTAATGACCATTGCACTACTTTTTTCTGGTTTCCTTCTTAATATAAAATTAAACCAAAATAGAATTGACTAAATCGGTTTTTTGATTAATTTTAGTGGTTACTGTAAGTATTGTTCATCATTTAGATGATTTAATATTTGTCTAATTGAATGAAGATATCAATTGATCGCAAAGAAAATCAATATTCTATTATCATTCTTAAAACAAAAAAAAGTCTCCATGTTATCTGATTTTGAGCAAAGTAACAACACGTATTTGACTACAACTAGTAGTGGAGAATTTATCCGTATGTCAGGTCATACTGTCAAAAAAATAAATGAAAAGAAAAATATTTCTAAATTTCATATTTATTTTAGAGTATCATAACGATTTGCGGAGATAGAACCAATAATTTCTGATATTTCCAGAATTTTTGAGACTTCTGTCGACTGAATGGAAAATATCTGAAAAAAATTGGTATTTTCTTTCATTTCTGTTAACTCATCACATTTTTTTCTTTCTCTAGAGTAAAGCGAAAGTTTAGCATATAATGTACAATACAGATCTTATCAGGCATATGTGCAATTATCGAGAGAAAAATTTACTTTGAGAGTATATCTTATTACTATACAAACGTGACAAAATCATTCTCAGAAACGATCAAAAAATAAAATCCATCTATTTCTAATCAATTAAATTTGAAAAAAAGAAATTGATTTTTTCTCAGCTTCCAATAAATCATCATTATTGATAAGAAAGGATTTTCAATAACAGTTTAAAATAGATAAAAAGAATATTGAAGATAAGAAGCAACGAAAAGAATGGCCAGAAATACTAAACTATAAATATTGATCAAAAACTAAACATTTCAAAATTCAAGAAATGACATTTGAAAAGCAATCATAAACAGTTAATGAAATATATAAAATCTAAAATGTCTAAGAAAAGTTTCTGATCAAGGAATATTCAATCAGCGTGAAGAAGTTAAACATTCATTTGTCTATATAAGCTTATCCAACCTACAATGCAAAAATGTCTAAGGGTATTACGTAATAACGGTAAATCATAAGAATCGAATTAACGTTTCTTTAGATAGAGCGAAGTCAGCTCTTTCAAATGCTATATAAATCTTTCTTTCATAATTTAAAATGGGACTAACACGAAGACCTTGCAAAATCAATTATAACCTTTTAGATCAATAACTCTAATCATGTTGTGAAAACCACCGTTTCTCACTTTGTAAAACATGGAACAGCCAAGTTTTTACCGAAATTTGGACGGTCATCAAAAATCTCTGATAAACAAGTAAAAGCTCTGATCAGAAGCGTTTACAACAAGATCAGTGTCAGCCAATGACGATTCGGTGTCCACCAATCGACGATTTTATGTATTATCAAACACTGGACAACAGTTAAAATCTATAACCGAAAGTCGGCTCCAAAATATACAAATGACGAGCTATATAAAATTGTCTGAAACTTTACAAAATTTTGAAACCCAATATTCAACTGATTCTGAATCATGAAAAAATACTTTACATTGAGTGGAGATATATCTAGTAATCATCGATATTATACAATTGATCCAAAAACAACATCACCTGCAGTGAAATTCAAAAGAAGAATGAAACATGAATAACGGCTGCTCGTTTAGATGGCTGTCTCGTCAAAAGGTATTTCATCGTTCAAAACTGGCTATAAGACAAGAACCATATTTAAACGAATGTATACGTAAACGTTTATTACTATTCATCAGTTAACATCACAAACATGATACTATTTTATTTTGACCGGATCTCGCGTCATCTCATTATTCAAAACAATTCCAAGAATTTCTCGAGACTAATAACGTCAATTATGTTCGACGTCATCAAAATTCTCCAAATGTTCCTCAAGCACGTTCTATCGAAACAATTTGGTCAGTATTGGAACAGAAGATGTACGAGAAAGCGTGGGAAGCAAAAACTTTGAATCATTTGGCCAAAAGAATTGAATCAAGACGTGGTTACAAGTATGATTTTGAGTGTTTGAGGAAAACTTTTAAAAATGTACAGACAAGCTGTTTATAGTGTTTGTTGATATGTTTACATAAACCATTTTTTATGCTCTTTTAAATAAAAGATAAATTACGACAATCGGTTGAATTATTACTTCACAGTACGCTCGAACACTTATGCGGATACTTTTGCATCGTAGATTATAATAGACAAACACAACAATGCGAAAATGCATCTGGTTCATAGAATGAATTCATTAATGCACAAAACAGAAAAAGAATTCACTAGAGATTTTTAACATCGAAATAAAAACTTTCATCTGCACTTTCTTCTGATCTTATCATTAAAAAAAAATAGTAACGTATGGTTAAACTAAACTGTTTGAAAAGTGTTAACGTATTTTTCCTTTCTATTAATATAAACCTTCATTCATACTTTGTTTTAACGTGTTAAATATAATATGAAATTTATTCGATCTCAATATTATTGTAAGTTCAAAGAAATAAAATATACTTACATCTTTTCAACTAATTTTCTTCAACTGAATCATTTCATAACATGACATTAGTTATCTATAAGGACGTCTAAAACGCACAATCAATGATTCATTTACTTGGACTAGTTTCTGTTTCGATTTATAACAAACAGAAAAAAAAATATTAAAGAAAAGAAAGAGAAACCTTTTACTTACATTCTACCGAGTGGCGAGAGCAAAAAATGTGACGAAGAAAAATACACGCAAGCAAAGAGAATATGTAAAAAACACGACTGTGTATATGATTAATACGTCGGTTACAACAAAATAATGACTCAAATGCGTGCTCTTTTTCTTTCGTTGTTTTTTCTCTTTTGTGAAACACGATTTAAAAAGAATATTGAAGTGTGTAGTAGTAGAAATTTGCACTCACTATTCAGGCAAGCAAAAAATAACGGAGGACGCCCGACATGACTAGTCTAAAATGTCTGCACCACCATCTGGTTTAGTCTAAAATGTTCGCGCTACTGTCTGACGGAGTCTGAAATGACTTGCAGCCCGTCAAGACTGGTTCGCTTGGCGAGCAACGTCTTGCAACCTAATATAGACTAGTCCGAAATATGCTCTCGCTCAGTCATGACTAATCGGTTTTGTATGTTCATACTGTCCAGACACATTAGCGTAATGACAAAAATCAGAAGAAAAGAAGATGATAGATGGATTCGAACATTCATTCGACAATATTGGATACTTGACTAGTCTAGACTGTTTTCAATAATAATGCGAACTAGTATGAAGAGTCATCTGTATTGGTCATGACTAGTTGTTTTTAAGAAACTAGTACCGTTCTGATTCAGACTCGTCTAGACTTGCTCGTATCGAGACTAGAACGATGAAATTAATTTTAGTATCTATCTATGAGAATATTATTTTATTTTAATATTAAATCTGATAATTTGAAGTTAAACATAGATTTAAACCGAAAATATTGTAAATCAAGATAAACGTAAACCATGATATGAAAAACAAGATTTTTTTGGAAATATATATTATTTTTATTTTGTTTTGAAATGTTAATTGTTTCTCAAATAGAAAATAATATTTCACAAATGTCGATGATCAAAAAAATTCTGAATTAATTTTGTTTAGCTCTATTTAACTAATTTTCGATTTTATAATAAATATTTTTTATTAATATTAAAGCTTTAGAAAACACCGAGTCAAACAGTATCAATTAGCATCTTAGAATGTGTATTAACATGTAAAAGTTGATCACTTGATCATATAGTTCAGTCGGATAAACAATGGGTAAGTAACATATGATATGTATGTTCGAATCTAACTTTCTGGACGTATTTCTATCATTTAGACTAGTTCGGACTACACCACTACATAGGACTAGATCCTGATTGATGTCACGTCACAGACACTGTTCCTCTTTTAATTTAAATTCTATTTCGAACGGATACCCAGATGGGGACTAAAGATTCCAAACGATTTCAGATTAGTCATGCAGTAGTCCGTTTTGAGAAAAAGTCTATACTGGATGTGCCGTCAGGACTAGATATGAGATTAACCTTTTTACCCGTTCTTTGTTCGCCTGGGACCTTGCGCGCAGTAGGCAATTTTTTTACTAGTCAAAAGGAGTTATATATCACTTGAAAAATAGCCTTTAATAAAATAAACTATTTTTTGAAGAAAAGTTTTTGCGAAAACTATATGTGAGGAATCCAGGCACTAATTTTTCGAAAAAAATTTTTGTCCAAAAATCTATCGTGTTGCATCTCATTCAGCATATTTTTATGTATTGATTCCGAATATCACATTCTTTTTATATGACAAAACTATCCTAATGAGAAAAATAACAATTGCCAGCTAAAAGCATGGGTTTAGGGGTGTTTTTAAATTTCATCTGTGATCATAAATGCGATACGATCTAGATAACCAACGATAAATTTACATGGAGATATGCACCTGGTGGAGGCTTGTACTTAATTAGATGAAAACCTTTTGTAGCATTCGAAAAATATGATATGACTCAATTTTTGAGCTTTTCATACATAAAAGTAATAAAAAAAACCATTTTGATTCTATATAATTAGATGCTACTCGACGACCTCATTCCGAATATCATCTTTGTTTTGCACCAAAATGACGCCTTATTGATTAAAATAGGGATTTGAGAGTGAAAACCTCGGTTTTTGAGAGACTTGTAGAACCAGCTGTGCTTGTCGGAACGAAGTAGTGCTATGATCAACGATGGATTAGATGTGGAAGAATAATTAATGAAAGTTTGAGATAAATCAAACTTAAGTTATGTTGAGCGTTTACAGAATACGGTATGACCGATTTTTTGACATATTTTCGGTCCAGTAATCACTGTTTTGCTATTCCATTTCGAGTTCTATCGAAATAATTTGCTCATACAACAAAGTTTATAAGCCAATTATTCGTTTCAGATAGTTTTTTTATTTTAAAATAATTCGATAACTTGGCGACCGAAATGATTTTCCGTATAATTACCAATTTACAAACACATTTCTTGCAATGAGCGTTGCCAGCATTTGGCTTGATTTCTGAAACTCTTATTTTAGGGTAAGATAGGTCAACCATAGATATATCTATTCCGATATTTGATCTTTGATAAAGTGAACTTTTAGTCGTGTCCGCTTGATTGCCTACTGTGACGCGTCCCTCTCTCTCCCTACAGTAGGCAGAAAAGGATAGTCAGGAGCAATTTCTCTAATTCTTGTAGCTATCGACTTAATATTTTGTGCAGATATGGTTGGCATTTCGTATGGATTATCTACGCTTACATGGGCTTCCTTACTCATGAGATTTCGAAGAAATAAATTTTCGACTGTCAACAACTGCTGAATAGGACAACATAAACTAAAGGGCAGTCCAAAAGTTTCAACCCCTCCTCGTAGATGGATTATATTTATGACAAACTTATATACAATTAATTGGTCAAAATATGTGATTTTGTAGAGAAAAAGACAGCCTATCTTTCTATAACAAGATCCTTCGAAATGCTCGAGTATAGGATAATCATATGACCATTTTATTCATCTCGAGTAAGCTTTTCTCATTTTGCGTTTTTAAAAGAAAATATTTATATAAAATGTTTCTCGAAAAAAAAAACATCTAAATGATTTATAATTTTATGATATAAATATGCTTTTTTAAAATTATATCGATAACCACATTTTGTTATGCGCTGACCTCGTCTTCGAACAATTGTCTTTAGCCTTTTTGGAATACTGTTGATCATTTTCGTACATTTTCATACAAAATGGACGATGTGTGACCGATCGAGAACTTGTGGAGTATCATTCGACAAGAATTAAGTAAATATGAATTTAATTCATTACACGATATGAAACAAAAAATTATTGATATATGGGAAAGTTTTAGTGAAGAAAAATGTATGAAAATGACCAACAGTATTCCAAAAAGGTTAAAGGCAATTGTTCGAAGAAGAGGTCAACGCATAATAAAATGTGATTATTGATAGCCTTAAACAAAAAACAATGTGGTTATCGATATAATTTTAAAAAAGCATATTTATATCATAAAATTATAAATCATTTAGATATTTTTTTTTCGAGAAACATTCTATATATATATTTTCTTTTAAAAACGCAAAATGAGAAAAGCTTACTCGAGATGAATAAAATGGTCATATGATTATCTTATACTCAAGCATTTCGAAGCATCTTGTTATAGAAAGATAGCCCGTCTTTTTCTCTATAAAATCACATATTTTGACCAATTAATTGTATATAAGTTTGTCATAAATATAATCCATCTATGAGGAGGGGTCGAAACTTTTGGACCATCCTTTACTGTTACATCCCTACTAGGACTTGAACAATTCAGTAACAGTTCCGATCTGAAGAGCTGTTCAAATCGATCTCTGATACGATCTGATCTGTCCGAAGAGATTAATTCTAGGAATTCATCGATTAGTATTAATAAGCTGCCCTCAAGGATATCCTATGGCGGTACCTATAAATCTTCAAGGTCTATCCTATCGAGGTACGCATAGGTCTTCAAGTCCTATATGACGAAGATATCCAAAGATCCTAAATATCTACCCTATGGAGGTATGTATAAGTCCCCAAGGTCTATCCTAAGGGGATACCCATAACTTCTCGATACCCTCATAGTATGGAATTTGAAGACTTATGAATACCCTCATAGTACAGGACTTGAGGAGCTATGGATACTCCATAGGATAGACCTTGGGTATGGGTGTGGGTATGCAATATAGGTATGAGTAAACAATGCATCCACACCCACACCCATAACACTTTTTTGACCAAATCGTTGAAATTGTCCTTCGGTGTCAAACATGATTGCTTGTTCAACTGTATTTTAGTAGATTGTGAGACAAAATTTCATTTTCGTTGTTTTTATACTCAATAAAACATGTTCCATGGCTTCACTGCGATTCTGCAGAAACAAAACTAAAGTATTAATTAAAAATATTTGATGCTTGAGTCACTCTAAACAACGTTTGTCGTGCAGAAGTTTCTCTTCAGTGAATTGAAAAACAATTGAAATGCATTTAGATTTTGTTCTTAAGACTGGAAAATACGTTCATCAGAGAATTCAGTAATAATATGAAATTGTATATTCGATTATATCATATCAAAGCGCTGCATAATAGTGTAGATGTTTTAAGAAATTCATAGGTGCATTTTTATAGTCAAACGAGTTCGATCAATATACATGCTATCCACTAGAAATGTTATAAATATGATTTAAAGATTAATTGACTGAAAAAAACTATCATTTGATTTATTGTTTTAATAATATAAAAGAAAATATGAACGAAAAAGCAATGTTTTTTATTTATTGTTTGAGACAAGATAAAGAACTATTAGATAATCTGTTTCTTCAAAGACATTTGTTATCTTTAGTGTTATATATTTACTTTGAATTATGAGTACTCGTGAGTATTTTTAAAATTTTAATTCCATTGATGAAATTGCGGTTTTCAGTAATCGATAGAGACTCATATAGGACACATGTTTATATAACAATCACCGTTTAAATGATCAGACATAATAGAAGTAATTGTGGCATGACGGAAAGAATAGGCTCGTTATCTGGTGAAATCTGAGTAGATCAAGCTGAAACTTTGAGTATATATAGCCCAACTGTACCCCAACCATCCCTAAAAATATCATCGAAAAATCTTTTAATGGTGAGAAATGGTGTGTCAATCATCATCTGACATTACATGAAGCTCTCATTCACTTAGTATATGGGCAAATAAGCTCAAGTTTTGATAGAATAAATACCATAGTCCGCACTCACCCAAAGGCAGTAAAAATTGTCTGAAAGAATAGTTTTCGCTCATTACATATTTTGGACCAAATCGCACCGACTTTCTTAGGGAAAATACAGCACTTAGCCATATTTTCGCCATATGTAGTTAATTATATGGCCAAAGTATGATATTATTGCATGGATATAAAGTGTAGACTATGGTATTTATTCTATCAAAAGTTGAGCTTATTGGCCCATATATTAAGCGAATGAGAGCTTTATGTAATGTCAGATGATGATTGACACACCATTTCTCACTATTACAAGATTTTTCGATGATATTTTTATGGATGGTTGGGGTACAGTTGGGCTATATATGCTCAAAGTTTCAGCTTGATTTACTTAGATTTCATCAGATAACGAGCCTATTCTTTCCGTCATGCCACAATTACTTCTATTATGTCTGAGCACTTAAATGGTGATTTTTATATAAACATATGTCCTATATGAGCCTCTATCGATTGCTGAAAATCGTAAGTCGCTAGCTACTTCCATTTCCAAGTCATTCAAAAAACAGCCACACCTATTGTTTTTTGAAAAGAATAATAGTTGAAACTCGACCATAATTCAAACAAGCACTTTTTCTTTCGTTCTCTTGTTACTAAAAAATGTGCACGCATACTTAAGGTGTGCGCAGCAGCAACCTATTATAGAACTGCGTTTTGTAATTATTAATCATTTAGACAGATGATAAAAAGTTCGTTCTCTTCTTTTTTCGTATCAACTGAATCATCATTCGATACCGTTGTGAATATAATGTAACGTTTTGGTCAATAGTTTACAATAAAATCACCATGTTGACTATTACACTTTTTCTGTTATTTTCTATACTATTGAATACAAATTCACAATTCATTCCACTACGATTTGATTTAGCAATTGATCATTTACGTCAATATCAATATTTTTCATCGAGTAATCTAATTAAAGATGTAGAATACAATCTTACACCTGAACAAATGTTAGAATATATGTCTCTGTTATTATTAAATAACAAGACTAGTCGATGTGAACAAGATTTTGAATTAATTCTTCGAGCAGCAATAGAAAAAGATACATGGGCAATCAAAGTACTCGATGCTTGGGGAAAACCATTACCTTCTGGTATACTCAAAGGTAACGTTTATTGGGTGGGCAATTATGATGAATGTATACAACCTATGTATAATCCAGCAAATAAATCTTTTATATCCCAACCATTCAATACACAACATTGTATGTATGTTTATCTTATTGCAAAATATATTTGAAAGTTTATTTTAGGTACTTTTAAACCAACAGCATCTCGATCCAATTCAAATTCAATGCGTTCGCTTGTTTTTGGTCTTTGTGTTCCATCATCATGTGATCGACAATCACTTATCTCTTTAATTCATATACTTTTCAAAAAAATTAATATTACTCAAGATAATCTTGTTTATTCTAAGGATCCACCGAATGGACAAAAAGGTCTTACCAATGGAGCAATAACAACTATTGTTATTCTCTCACTTTTAGGTTTACTTGTTCTTATTGGAACAATCATTGATCTTTTCCTTATGTCTAAACTTGATTCAATTGATAATCTAACAATATATAATGCTGCATATAATTATTTAGTTAATGATGGTGAAATGACTAGTCAACCTGAATCACGTCGAACATCAAGATATTTTTCTCTTAATCGAACGTCACGAATAGTATTTCTAGCAGAATTTTCTGCATTAAAATCACTTCGTCGAATATTTACACTGGAAGAAAAAACTAGTGGTGATAAGAATGAATCATTTTTATTTATTAATGGTATTCGAGTATTATCTTTATTTTGGATAATTATTGCTCATTCAGTACTTTTTGGTTTATCTTATACAAGTAATGTAACAGATATTCTTGTTTCGACACGTAATATAGCATTTCAATTAATATCAAGTGCTCAATTTAGTGTTGATACATTTTTTGTGCTAAGTGGTTTTTTAACTGCAATTTTATTTGTTCGTCAAATGAAAAAAGAAAAAAATCTATCATTTCGTTTAATGTTTCTTTATTATATTCATCGATATATTCGATTAACACCTGCATTTCTCCTAATGATTCTTGTTAGTATAAATTTAACACCATATTTTGGACGAGGACCAGTTTATCCAATTGAACAAGGATTTGAATCGAAAGGTTGTCGTACACGATCTTAGTGGACATCAATTTTTTATATAGGTAATATAGTAAGACCAGATGATATGTGTTTAAATATTGCATGGTATCTACATAATGATATGCAATTTCATTGGATTGCTCGATTAACTTTAATTCCATTTGCTCTTGAACGAAAGACTTTATCATTTCTAATTGTTACGCTTTTTGTTTTCGTTGGAATTGGATCGACTTTAGGTATTATTCTTTATTATCCGAATATGTCACTCAATGATCCGACTGCTTTAACTGATAATGTAAGATTTTTTATAGTGAACAATGTTGATTGATCGTTCCGTTGTTCTTTTTTTCTGTCATAGGGTGGTCCTAGTTTCTACAAAATGGTTTATATTAAACCATGATGTCGTATATCGGCATATAGTATTGGACTTTTAACTGGATATATTGTTATAATTACTGGTCGTCAATATCGTATTAATAGATACAGTAAAATTATTGGAACTATTCTAATTATTGTCATTGCTTTAGCATGTCTATTTACGACTCATCCTAATAGCATTCATGTACCTGGTCTAAGTCGATCAGAAATTGTTGCATATATATCACTTTCACGAACATTTTGGTCAATTGTTATTGGTTGGCTTTTATTTGTATGTAGTACAAATCAAGGTAGGATAGTAAATAAGATTCTTTCTTGGCCTATTTGGACTCCATTAGCTCGACTCAATTATTCATGTTATTTAGTTCATTCTATGATACTTCATATAATTATATTCAATCAAACTATGCCTTTCTATTATCAAGGACATCTTGTAATAAATAATTTTATTTCACATATATTTTTTAGTTATGTTGCAGCTATTTTAGTTTCGATTTTTTTTGAGACAACATTTTTTATTATTGAAAAAAAATTGTTTAAACGATAGATAACAGTTTTTGAAATAAAAATATTAACCCTTTGGGAACCAGTGTACTTTATAAAGTACACATTTTTTTTTAGTTCGTAAATATTTCAATAATTTGTGTAGATAATACTTTACTACATACATCTGTATAATAATTTCACACATTATAAGGTTACGTATGCGATAAATATAATGAAGTATGGGAAGACAATTTATACGTATTTTCACGTCACTTTAGGATTAGAGTAATATAGTGGATATGGATAGTGATGAACGGTTAGATCTATCCTATATCTATATAAACATTTATGAATGAACTAGATTTACGCGACGTCTATCTCAGTTTCTGAAACTTCTCGAAGTGGATCAGCTAAGTATTTTATTTGAATTATTTTTGTACAAATACAAAATCGTAACCAGGGATGAAAGGGTGACTTATGGAAAAACACGAAATAAAATTGTGAAAAATAATCAGGGATGAATGCTTATTCTAGCGCTGATAAAATTAGAGAGAAATTTTTTGGTACGCCGAGATAGGAATTTCACACACCTCCTTTCTGTCCATTAACAAAATCTGCATCTTCTGTACATAGATCCAATGCTAATCGTTGCAAAGATGGCATCTTACTCAGAATGTAAGCAATTTCTTCTAATGACCAGTATGTACTGATTGAACGCAACTGAAAATCTTTTAGATGTAAAAGAGATGGCACATTTGCTAATGTTGATTGTGAAGCAGATGATAATTCATCAAAGTCAATATGTAAACGATTAATATGTGGTACCAATATGAATAGATATTCTAACGTTTTATCCGTTTTTAAGTTCACAATCAACTCTTCGATATTCGGATAAGAAATCATTTTGTTATTTGCAGTCGCAGTCAAAATAAAATCGATTGACTCATGATCAACAAATACGGATTTCAGTCGATTATTGTTAGCAGCTAGAACTTTATGAAATGATTTTTCTGTATTGTCACCTTGAAAATTTCTAAGTTCAAGTTTGACTAATTCCAAAAGATCTGTGATTTTATCAAGAAATAAATTTAATTTTCTATCAATGAAATTCGTCAATGACAATGTCTGCAATTGTGGTAACATTAAAGATAATTTCGAATGAAAGAATTCCGAATGTTCTTCTTTAAACAAGATATTTGTCCATAGTCCATGAAACACAAACGATCGTATTGAGATACCAATTTGAGGAACGATTTGCATTGCAACAAAGTTAAACTGTTTATATGTAACACCCGTGAGATTGACATGATGACAGAAGTCGGCTATCGTCGAATCGAGACGAGAATTCAGATTGAAAAATGAATAAAGAATTTCGGTGCCACGAAGATACTGACATATGAGTAATATCATTTCATCTGGTAATCTTTCAAAAGTTAAAACTTCTTCCATTAGAAATAGCAAATCCAGTCATATGTTTGATTAATAGAAGATATGTGCAATGAAGAAAGAAAATGCAGTAAAAATGTTGAATACGATCTGACTCATAGGGGAAAAAATCAAGTTGAGAGGCATGGATGTCGAGAAAAAAGAACCAAGCCACGTGTACATTTGTGTTTATGTTATGTAAATGCAAGGAAGAGAAACGAGTATATTTGCATAGTCAGGGTGACGGCTTTGCATGTGAATGTGTGGTGTAGGTTTCATTAAAGAAAAGCTCCACACTTAATCGTTTCATCTTTTGATATTACGACTTTTTTTCATATATAAGTAATTGAATGATATACTTAGGTTCTTATAAGAAGAAATTTTCTTTTGAATAATGATCTCGTATTGATTGATTAATCTCAAAATATAACTTTTTGACACGTTCATCAATGATTTTCAAAAGTTCAGTATTAGATATCTTGAAATTTTATCATTCTAATAACAATGATACACAGACAAAAGGATAAGCAATAAATGAAGCAACAAATGACTGAATAATGGTTTAATCAATAAGAGAAGTAGCATATATTCATAGCAATAAAAGTGATATATTTAACAAAATGTCATAATAGAAAAACAAATACAATTATTTTTTAGTGTAGCACCCTAAAAGAATATTATTAGTCAACACTTTTGAATACTTAATTTATATTTTTGTTTTTAAGAAAAACAATTCTCTTCTTATCTATAATAAGCGGTGCAAAAGTTTTTGGAGAGTGTGAGGTACAGGTATCAGTCTTCTCTTCTCGCACACTCACACCTCACATCTCACATCCTATTATCGTCGTAAGTAGTTTGAAATTGAAATCATCTTCTTATATCCACTTCTACATAGCCTGGATGCTGCCATGGCATCATTAGTAGTGGCGTAACTGGTGCCGGGGCTACGAGAGCTGAGCCTCCTGGAAAAATATTTTTAATCATAACGTAGATTTTAAATTAGCGAATACTCTGTGTTGTTAACGGTTTGATATTTATTATGAAGAATATGTTTAAAAAGAAGTAATTTCTAAATCAGTTATAAATACTGTAAGTCATTGACGTTTAAATGGTGTGATAGTACGCGTATCGTCTGTAATAGCAAATCCCATCACTGGTTTGTGATGTCCATCTCGTGATTGGACTCCATGAAAGCGACCGATAATGTAGCACAGTTTTGATTGGTTGGTTACTTCATTATTCACTTGAACGGGTACATCCAATGATGGAAGTCGTATATCTGTTACGTGATGACTGCTACTTTGACACAATCCATAGAAAAGTCGAAGGATCCATCCACCATTCACATAGTCTCCAGGTTTTCTGAAATATAGAAAGAAAAGATCAATAAATGCCTTTTTTTTCACATCTCTTATAGACAGATCGATATAACCTTTGTTACGAAAGAGCTTCTCGAAACAACCGATCGCTTTCAAATTTATCTATGTATCATATAAGTAATGCTAAGGTGATTTTTTTTGTCTGAGCCGCTGAGCTATGATCGTAAAAACCGAAATAATATAGAATTATTCTAGTCTTATATTTTCTGATTCATGCTCTAAAGTTAAATTTAACGGCGATCGGACAACATTTCCTTGAGCATGCTCTCGTTAGTATTATGAAAAACTTACACTCCTGATCCTGATTCTCCTTCCCTATGGTTGATGGGTGTAGGTGTGGGTGTGGGTGTGGGGGTGGGATGTGGGATGTGGGGGTGGGGGTGGGTGGGTGTGGGGTGTGGGGGTGGGTATGGGGTGTGGGGGTGGGTATGGGGTGTG